TCGGATTTCGTGCATTGCTTGCCTAACATATTCTAGGTAGGGGTGAGCATGGGACGGGTACCCGTACTGATAGTATTAACGGTTCGGGTACCCGATAACCAAAATTCCTAAAAGTGATATCCATAACCCGAATTGATAAGTTCGGGTACCCGGACTTCGGGTACTCGGATTTTCGGATCAGTTATCGGGTACCCAATAAGATATCCAATAATGATAATTAAACTTAATTATATAGTTATTATAACATAATTTACCACTAATTAACAACAATATCAAATGATTTTGACCAAATTATTAATAATATTACTAATAATTGATATTATAAAGTAATAATAAAGTAAAGTAAGAGTTACTAATCATTGATATTATTAATAATATTACTAATCATTTATATTATTAAGTAATTATAAGCAAAAAAATACTTATCGGAACGGATCGGGTAACCTTTAATTTTAAAATGATACCCAATAACCATACCCGATAACAAATTATCGGAACGGGTACCCGAACCGTTACGGTTATTGGATCAGGTACCCTAATTTTTGGAATGGTTAAGGATCGATTTTTCGGGTTTTCTGTTTTTCGGGTAGTTTTGCTCAGCCCTAATTTTAGGTGTTATATTTTCTGTAATTGGTTAGGTTATTGGGTGTAAGTGTATGAAAACTATATTGCATACAGGAGAGATAGCTTTGTGTACAAAGGCTGTGATTGTACTGTGAGAGTACGAGTGAATTTAAGTCAGGGGACTTGAATTGGGTAGGATAGAGTCCTACTGTGTAGCAAGTTCTAGTTGGAACTTGTGAGCAAAGGTCTGTCTTATAATAGGTTTGTAACTTGGTGTGTGCCCTATTATAGTGGATTGGTTTTTGTGTTGAAATTCCTTAGAAGGGTCGAGATTTTACTTCTAGTTGAGCCCTGGAAGGTTTCCTCGTAAAATCCTGTGTGCTTTGCTAAGTTCCTTTTATATTTTGTTTGTAATTTGCAAAAGTAGTCACTGGGAACTCACCTACTATTTACCCCCCTCTTGTAGTGTTTGTTTCAACTAACAATTATTTTTTTTTTTTTTTTTTTTTTTTTTTTTTTTTTTGCAATTTATTGGGTTTTAGTTTCCAAGTAATTTCTTTAATTCTCCTTCATTCCCGTGATTTTCTACCAAAGGGACAATCAAATAGGGATGGAGGGAGTATATTTGTATAGGATCAAGTTTTTATACTTCTTAGGGTCTGTTCTCATTGAGTGAAATGAGTTGAACTGAACTGAACTGAACTTATTAAAGCTGAACTAAACCGAATATTTTATGAGAGAAAGAAATTAGTTGCTAAACTGAACTGAACTGAACTTATTAGAGCTGAACTGAACTGAACTGAACTGAACTTATTAGAGTTGAACTAACCTGAACTGAAAAATTTGATGAGAACAGGGTCTTAATAAATATAATTACAAATATTCATGGTCAAAGTTGTGCATCGGTATATATAGGTAAAACTTCTATATCTTTGACGATGGATTCTCATTAATTTATAAGTGATAATATATTTATGTAAGATCTTGTTAGAATTGTGTCACATTATATTTTATTAATATCAAGTTTCTATTATTTTTATGTGTTTAGAAATGGATATATATTCATTTGAAGACGTGTCTTGAAGACCATAAAAAGTCAAATAGGACAAAAAAAAAGGAAAGTTGTTATTAAAAAAGTATAATACATATTTTGACAGAGAGGAAGTATAATTTAAAACATATATCTTGAGCAAGCGAGGAGTGTGTTTAATTTGCGGCTAAGGCCAATTTACCAGATAGGTAAATATAAAAGACCTCTAGTGATATTTCAGTAAAAAAAATAACTCCGGTGATAATCTGGAAAAAAAATTAATCACATGTGACATTTAGACCAAAATATCTATTTTTTTCCACAAAGTCATCAAATTTTCTAATTCAATTCATTATTGTAATTTTTAAAAATTATTTTTTTCCCATTTTAAAATTTAAATTAATATGTCATCTCCTTTTATTTTGTGAAGTCCTGATATCAAATTAATTTCCAACCCCTTTCTAAGAAAATCGATAATAAGGGGTAGGAAAAATACGTTAAAAATAATATTTAATCAATAATTTTTATTCAAATTGTTAATTCCGAAAAGGGGTTGGGAAATTAGGTAAGAAAACCATGAAAAAGAACTAAATTAAGCATTTGCGAGTAGTTTGTCGGAAATTTTTGTATATTAAAGGTTAATTGTCGCCTGAGATGATTTTTTTACACCAAATTGTTGCTTAGAGTTAGTTTTTTTTTTTCACTAAAGTGTTGCCGGAGCTATTCTATTTACCAAATGTTCTCTAGGCGTTTTTTTTTATTTACTAATTTGGACAATTGGCTATGTGGCTAACGACACCATGTAACCACTAGTAAAAGAATAAAATAACCCCTATGATATTGACCGAGTAACCCTATAACATTGACGAAATAACCTATAATATTGAACAAGTAACCCTTATAATACTAACAAAGAAACCCAGGATAACCAGCCAAATATAAAAGTTGGTAAGCTTGAGTGACCTTATTCTCGGTTCAATTGGCTCTATTCATGGTAGATTATCAGTCGATTTCTCACCTTTGATTTCTAACAACTCCATCTAATACCAAAGTACCCTCAACAAGTCAAAAGTCATGATAATATCAGTGCCAATTGCAATCGAGAGCGTGTGGTTAACATTAAAAAACAACTTGATTGCGATTCTTTATGGAAAAGAAAAAAAAATAAAGGAGTGTGAAAAAAAGGAAATATTGTAACAAATTCATACCATCGATCGCCTTGGAAAGTGGGTAGATGGTAGGCGAGGTGCTCGTGTCCTATTCATAAAAATAGAATTGTATAATAGAAACACACAAGTATCTATGAAAGGAAAACCAAATGAAATCTAGTACTCTTTTCGTTCCTTAGATTCCTACTTCAAGCCTTTATTCCTCATATAATAAAATGAATTAAAAATTTAATTTAGAGATAGAAGAAGGAGTATATCATTAAAGAAAAATTCAAATTTATCACCTCAATAAATTTAAAATGCAAATTTAATGCAAACTTCAAATTAAATTGCTTAACGTATTGCTATTTACGTATAAAATCACTTTTAAGTTATCGATTTTACCCAAGAAATACTCTAAAATAATCTATTCCGTATTATGTACGGAGTACTTAACATGTTTTGTTATCAAGGAGTTAAATTGGATCTTATTCGAGATCATTACCTTATGTCAACTGCTGACTATCATTTTAAAGTTATTTTTTGGTAATGTTTCTCATACAGACAGTTATACTAAGCATATGTTTTGTTTTATTACGTCAATAGTCCAAATTTGTAGGCTGAACTACAATTTAATTTATTCATATAAAGAATGGTATATATACTATATACAAGTCTACCTTGGCCTATCTGATACTTGTATTATTTGATCAAAAAGAAAAAGTAGAGAGAGAAAAGGAGAGAGAGAGAGAGAGAAATGGGAACATATATTGTTGAAACACAAGTAGTTCCGGAAGAGAACACAATTGTTAACCAAGAAATCTAATCATGAGAGAAAGGAGGAGCTTGATGCTGGTGCACTTTTTGTTCTCCCAATCTAAAGGTATGTAAATTTTCAGTCTTCTTTATGGATCAACTGGTATTTAGTGGCGGATCTTGAATTTTTTTTTTTTTTTTCATAGGGAACAATTGTTATTGCAACATTCATTTCCGAGGTTGCACCTACTTAAGACATTACAAACTAATAATGTAGTTTTGAGTATCAAAATTGTTGTAAAACACCAACTTATATATCAATATGTATATGTAGTGCATTCTTGCAAAACAAATTGTCTAGCGTGGGAAAATTTTGTTGTTTGAGTAAGGTTTTGCATATACTAATCGTAAGTATATATAATAACTATAATAATGTATGTGATTATTAATTATTATCACGTAGCTAGCTAGGATGATGATATTATGTGGCAGTAGTTTGAAGGTGCTACCAAATTCATTATATTTGGTACATAATTTTGTTTTCTTATAGTAATTTTTTTTTTTTTTTTTGAAAAGTTTTTCCTAAAGTGATTTTGGTTGGAAGGAAAAGGAGGAACAAACTACCACTGTTATATTCTTTTTAGTTTTGGACTTTTGGTAGACTACCAAATTTGCAATAGCATACCTCTAATTATATTGAAATTTACATAATACATCAGGTTTACCATGAGCATGGTACACCCTGCTCTAAACGCTTGATTTTACATCAAATTAATATTTAATCTGCCAACTTTACACATTATAAAAAAATAAATAAATTAAATAAATAAAAAAATTATCAACTCCACAATTAATGGGATCATGCATGATCATCTCCTTTTTGCTGAACTTCCATATTAATTATTACTTCTTGTTATTTTTTTTTCTTTTTTTAACAATATATGAATGCGGGCGGAAGATCCATAATATTAATAGGAAAAAGATATATGCAGCCAAGGGCTGCATATAAGAAGCTAAAAATGAAAAGGAAAGACAATAAATAACCATTTATTACACCGATTTACTCGTGAATTGTCGATAAATTCCCAACTTAATACTAAAAAAGGAAGTATATTAAATACTTATATGCAGCCCTAAGGGCTGCATATAACATTACCCTTTCAAAAACTTACTAAATTTATATACCAGAATACAAAAAAAAAAAAAAAATTTAATTAAAGAAAGACGATTATTGGATCTATTACTATATTATACGAAGTATTCTGTATTATATAGAATGCACTCGTATATATATTATATATTGTATAAAATACAGTTGTTGTTATATGTAATGACTAATGAGTGATTAAATTGTGACGACAGGGTCATGGGTGCACTGTGGGTACCATCTAACAACATCGATAGTAGCACCGGCACTACTGAGTTTACCGTATGCTTTTAAATTTCTTGGATGGGCTGGAGGAATTATATGCCTCATTTTAGGAGCAATGGTCACATTTTACTCCTATAATTTGCTATCGTTGGTACTTGAACACCATGCTCAATTAGGTCGCCGCCATCTTCGGTTCGAGACATGGCACATGATATATTAGGTATGTTCTTATTTATGGTATACAAATCCTCAATATTTAATACGCAGTATTAGACAAAGAACACATTAGTTTATTAATTAGAGTTTTAGAATTAGTTATATAGATTAATGTTTGTGTAAATATAATAGTCAATAAAATAATGATCAAGTATATCATCATGTTGACTTGTTGCTGGAGCAAGTTTTTTTTTTTTCAATGTAAATCATAATTAAAGAAAACAACTAATGACTTGACCACGTTGAATCTCTTGTTATTTCAATAATATCTTGCCAAACTTGAAAGACGAAAAATACTTAATCTAATCATTTTCTTAACTTCAAAAGATTAAATGATGTTATAATTATTTGCTTTCATGTATGGTTCGTAAAAACACATTGACCATGTACACCAATTATTGCCTTTTTTTCATAAAAAACACATATTACACTACGTAAGTACGTATTATTATATTTTAGTACTTTATTGTTAGCGTATGATAGAGACATTATTGGATTTTATCATGACTTACAAAATATTCAATTCAACTTATTTAGATATGATAAATTTGGCATCAAGGGGATTAATAACTAAATAAATTTTTTAACATTATTGGTAGGTCCAAGATGGGGGCGATATATTGTGGGTCCAGTTCAATTTGCAGTGTGCTATGGTGCAGTTGTTGGAGCTTGTCTTATAGGTGGTCAGTGTATAAAGGTCATTTTTTCTTATTTCAGACAAAATATATTCAAATTATATTACACAATGATTTAGTCATGTATACTAATAACTTAGTGATGATGCAACTTATTTCTCAGGCTATCTACTTGTTGTTCAATCCGAATGGTACAATGAAGCTCTATGAATTCATAATAATATTCGGAGGACTAATGCTAATCCTAGCTCAGATGCCCTCATTTCACTCTCTACGCCATATTAACTTGATTTCTCTACTCCTATGCCTTGGCTATAGTGCCGCTGCTACTGTTGGCTCCGTCTATATTGGTAATCCAAGCCTTTTCTTCTTGATGAAAATAAGTAAACCCATGATTGATTTTTTGCACTTCCCCACTTCATATAAACCTTGCTTGTTTTACATCATTTTGTTTTATTTATGTCGCATATTTTCACTGATATGTATTTCGTACTTATATTATCATCAATGTATATCCGGATTGTTCTTAATGTATATTTTTTAAAATGTCGAATTTTTGTGATAAATAATTAAAGAGATTAAATGACCAAATTTATATTTTAGCAAACTTGTCCTACTAAAACTTTATGTAAGGTATTATAGTGGCAATGAGCTAGATTGTGTATGTCTTTCAATTCACATGCCCACGATTAACACACACACACAAACAAACAAAATAAAAAAAATAAAAAAATAAAGTGTTCAAGAATTTTATGTCAATGACCAATCTACATAAATGCCCAAATTTTATGTATTTTATGTCAATGACCAATCTACATAAATGCCCAAATTTTATGTATTAAAAAAAAAGTTACACGGCAATGCATCATAGTTGTAAAAGTAACATGATCCTGCCTCACACCAGGCCACAACCTTTAATTTTTTTTTTTTTTTTTTGTTGACATCAAGGCCACAAACCTATCATACAGTACACTATCTAGGTAGAAAATTTAGCATGCATGTGATCAACCATGATATTACACTAGAAACAATTGAATCATATACTACCTTTAAATCATATTGCTTTTGAAAAGTATCCTAAAGTTGTCAATGGAAATGAATAATGTGTTGCATTGTGTCATGCAGGACATAAATCAAAAGGACCAGAGAAAGACTACTCACTAGTTGGCAACTCTGAGGATCGGTTATTTGGTGTATTTAATGCAATTGCGATTATTGCAACAACTTTTGGGAATGGAATTATTCCTGAAATTCAGGTTATTTAGATGTCATATCTTCTTAAAATCTTAAATTTTTGGATAGTCCTTAATTCAATTATATAATTATGTTGCTAATTGCTTATGAAATTTATGACACAATATTGTTAGGGCAACGCTAGCACCACCAGTAAAAGGGAAGATGTTCAAGGGACTATCCGTGTGTTACAGTGTAGTTTCAATGACATTCTTTAGTGTCGCGGTGTCAGGTTACTGGGCATTTGGGAACCAAGCTGAAGGCCAGATATTAAGCAACTTTGTTGTGAATGGAAATCCTTTTCTACCTAAATGGTTCATTTTTTATGACCAATGCCTTTGTCATCCTTCAAATTTCTGTTGTTGGTGTGGTACGTAACAACTTTACTTTTTTCTTGCCTGGCACATTGATTTTCACACTGAAAGTTATGCCCTTAAGAAACCACTGCATAACAAGTTAAAAATACACTAATTAAAATGCCTTGATCTTTGATCTCACGATATAGAGTTTATAACTTATTAATTGTGAGATCAGTGTTCGTTTGAAATATAATAATCATAATAGTTTAATGATTATGTAGCTCATAATATGTAATATGTAACGCAATTCAATTTTTTGGCGCAGATATACCTGCAACCTACAAATGAAGTATTAGAGGGAGTATTGGCAGATCCGAAAAGTGGTCAATTCTCTCTAAGAAATGTGATCCCAAGGGTGATATCGCGGTCTCTCTCAGTCGCCATAGCAACAATAATATCAGCAATGCTCCCATTTTTTGGAGACATAAATGGAGTTATTGGAGCATTTGGCTTCCTTCCTCTAGACTTTGTTCTACCTGTCATTTTATTCAACCTTACATTCAAGCCTTCCAAACGTACTTTCATATTTTGGTTGAATCTAAGCATTGCTGTTGTTTTCTCCATATTAGGGGTCATTGGATCAGTTGCTGCCGTAAGGCAAATCATTCTTGATGCCAAATCTTATAAATTGTTTGCCAATGTATGAAATTTTCACTGCATTGGTGAGGCTGGAGTTCATATTTTGGGCTTTTTTGGACTTGAAAGAGGATGTCGTTTTTCCTTAGATTTAGAATATGTAAAATGTAAATTGTTTACATAAATATTTTTTGGGGGAGTTTTTTTTTTTTTTTTTTTTTTTTTTTTTTTAAATTATTAAGGTTTAGGTGACCAAAAGTATTAATATATGTAGCTGCAAATTGCAATGTTGCAGCATTGTAACCAAATACCAATGCAAATCAAGGAGCAAAACAAAATCACAAAATTCCATTAATTGAGAACATTGAGCTTCTCGTTGAGACATGCTATATTTTCCACAAGGACTTAAGGTGTACTTTTTTTTTTTATTATTATTTTTTTAATAGTAAATCTGTTCATTTCTAAGGAAAAATTTACAATAATAATTCCACATTTTTATAAGTTTTCTCATAATAGTCTCATCTTTCAAAAATCTCGAAATAATCCCATCTTTTAGGGCTACCTATATATATATATAACAATTAGGGCAAGCTTGGATTGAGGGAGATATATTACTACGGTAATAAAAGTCAAACTAAGCAAAAAGAAAGTGAATATAGGGAGGTGGAGATAGTGCTGGTGTGATTGTAAGGAAATTATGTAGTGAAGGTGTGGTATGAGATGAAGAAAAAGGAACTAATACCCTCATTTTGGGGGTAATAGTTACACTAGGGGGGTGGATAACTATTACCCTCATTATGAGGATAATAATTTCTCCATCTCTCTCTTTTCCTCATGGCATAATTATCTTATTTCATTTGAAAGCACCTTGTCTCCTACAATAACACATCTAATTACTTATGTTTTTCAAGCTTGACTGATCAAGAATTACAAAATGGACAATGCAAAAACCAATAAGACTCCTATGGGTATTGGAACTAGGTTGGATGAAGATCCAACTGGAACTTGCATGGATCAAACTATGTATCGAGGTATGATAGGCTCTTTACTTTACTTAACAACAAGCACACCTGACATATCTTTTAGTGTAGGTCTTTGTGCTAGGTTCCAAGCAAATCTAAAGGAATGTCACTTGGTAGCAGTAAAGAGAATCCTTCGTTCATTTAAAGGAACTGATGACTTGAGTCTCTTCTATCCTAGAAGTGATTCATTTGAATTAAATAGCTTTACTGATGCTGACTATGCAGGTGATTTGGTTAATACACTACTAGAAAATAGGCAAATAATGACGAAAATTTTCCGTCGGAAACATCCCGTTTTCCGTCAGAAAACCCGTTTCCGACGGAATTCCGTCGGAAAACCCGTTTCCGACGGAATTCCGTCGGAAAAAACTGTTGTAGGAAAATGGGCCTTTTCCACAGAATTTTCGTCGGAACCACTATTCCGACGGAATTCAGTCCGCCGGAAGTTATTTTTTGGGCCCGAAATAGTCCGTCGGAAATGTACGACGGAAAATCCGTCGAAAAATGCTTTTAATAAAACAAAAAAAAAGCCTCCCAGATGACCCACCACCACCCCCTACGCCATCGACCCCCGAGCCCACACCAGCCCGTACCACCCCCACACTAGTCCGTATGTACCACCCCCACAACAACCCGTTACACCCCCACAACAGCCTACACCACCAGCCCCCTAACTCAACCAAAAAAATCAAAACCGAAACCCCTACCGACCCACCTAACCCTAACCCACCCAAATACATATCTTCCACCCAAACAAAACCAGATCTACAACCCTAATCATTACTGCCGCCAAACCACCAAATCACCCACCTAAACCATCACTACTGCCGCCGAAAAGACCTTCACAACAAAAATATTTAGAAAAATTCGAACTCCCAACAGCTGCCACAAAAAAAATCGGATTAAACAACAAAAAAATTAAAAAAAAAACACTTACCTTAATTCGACCACAAAAACCTCAAAATTAGGTTTAAGAGGCCAAATTCAACCACGAAAACTCTAGATCTAGAGTTTTCGTGGTCGAATTTGGCCTAAAAACCTTCATTTGCACCGTTGGAGATCGCGTTTGGGGGGTTGGGTTCGGATATTCGACCTGGTGTTCGATCTTGTGGCGGCGGGTGGTAGTGTCGGCGGTGGAAAGAGAAAGGAGTGAGAAGGAGAATGAGAAGTAAAGAAGAGGAAAGAGAAGGAGCAGAGAAGAGGGGACGAAGAAGAGGAAGGAAGAAAGAGAATTCGCAGAGAGGATGAATGAAGGAGAGAAGATGAGAGAGAAACAAAGAAGGGGGAAATAAGAGAAAGGGAGGCGGAAACAAGAGAAGGGGGAAATGAGGAGAAGGGGTGCGTTTTAGGGTAAAGAGAAAAATCAATTTTAATTTTTTTTAATTATTTTACGACGGAAAATTCCGTCGGAATGAACATTTATTCTGACGGATTTTTTATCCGACGGAACAAAAATCCGTCGAAATTTTTTTCTTTTTTCGACGGAACAAAAATCCGTCGGAAATTTTGCTTTTTCCGACGGAATTTCGAGTCCGTCGTAACTAATCCGTCGGAATTAGCCTGTTTTCTAGTAGTGATAGAAAAAGTACTTCAGGTATGGTACAATTTTTAGGACCTTGTTTAGTTTCTTGGGGTTCCAAGAAGCAAAACACAATTGCATTATCCATAGTTAAAGTTGAGTATGTGGCAGCAGCAACATGTTGCTCACAAGTCTTATGGATAAAACAACAAGTTAGAGATTTTTGGTATTATTTTTTAATGTGTTCCTATTTACTGTGATAATACAAGTGCTATTTGTATTTCTAAAGATCCAGTTCAACACTCAAAGGTAAAGCATATCCACATTAGGCATCACTTCCTAAAAGACAAGGTGGAGAAAGAGAATATTAAGTTAGAATTTTGTCAAACTGAAAATCAAATTGCTGATATTCTAACCAAGCCCTTGAACAGAGAAAGGTTTGAGAAATTGAGATTGGAATTGGGATGATCAAGTTGACTTGATTGCTTTTGAAGTTCCAAGATATGACTAAGTCAATAATCATGTAAATAAAGCAAAAAGAGCATTTGACGCAATTTTGGTGTGCTAAACATAGCTGAAGTAATCACTAAAGGTTAGTTCACTAAACACTTAATTGCTTGAGTAATTAATAATATACAGTCATATGTGTTAAAACCGTGTTCCATTATGTGTATTTTAAGAAAGAAAACACGTTTTGTAAATTAAATGAATTTGGAAAGAAAACAAATTTTGGAAAATACATCTTGCCAAAATTATTTTACAAAATTAATTGAACTTGTTCCAATAAATGACTGAATAGTAAAACCCATTCAATTCCATCACACCGCTTCAATTATTATAAAAAGCATCTTTCACCCACCTTTTCACTCCACTGTCAAATCAAAATTAACCCACTTTAGTAAAAACATCAAAGCTCAAAACCCTCCATTAAACACCATGGTCATCATTGCCGAAATTGTGTCTTTAGAAAACTCTCACAATTCAGAAAACACCATTCAAGAAGAAACCACTCCCTTAGCAATGGTGAACTACAAACCCTTTCTTGAAACAACCGAAACCACTTCCGATTTACCCAAGCCTGCTGAAAACCCTAAACCTCTGACTTCAAACCTTAAAGAAGCAGAGAGCAAGAATGAAAAAGAATAAATTGGTTCATCAAGTGTACTTGACAGAGTTTTTGAATGGAAACAAAAGAAGGAGAAAGAAAAATCACTTGAGAAGCAAATGTAGGAAGTTGATGAATTAGAAAAAGGGGTTCAGTAGGTAGAGGAAGATGATCAAGGGGAAAGTGATGAAAATGAGTCAGAATAGAGAGAGGAAGAAGAGAATGAAGAAGATAATGATCAATTGGAACTTCTTAAAAGTGCTGAAAGGTATGTTGTTGATCATAGACTCGATATATCTTGGTGCAAGAAGTCTAGGTTTTTAGAATTTCTCGATTTAATAAAATTTCAAGGGTGGGAGTATTTGTTGACAATTGCTTCAAATAATGTGCTATATCTAGTTGCTATGGATGAATTATGTAGCAAGTTCCAAGTAAAGAAAGGAAAGATCACTAGTTTAGTGAATAAAATGAAAATTGAACTTGATGTTGAAAAGCTAGGAAATTTTTTTTAAAGTAACTACTGTGGGTTATGAACTGTATGTGAAGGGTAAGACATCTGTGAAGGTTGGTGATTATCTAAGTGGTGATATAGTTGAATTTTTGGGAGGAGAAAGAGGGGAGAATGTTATGAGTCATAATGATCTTAGGCCCCTAAATAAGCTGATGTTTAATTTGGTTAGAAAAAAAAATTCTGCCTAGGACTGATAAGAGAAGTCAAGCATGTTTGATGGAATTGGCTGTCATTTTCTGCCTTTCCAAGAAAATAAAAATCAATTTTCCTTCATTGATGTATCAACATCTAGCACACTGTGTTCTAAGGAAGAACAAAGTGGTTGTGCTTTCTATTGTGTTTGAGTTTCTAGGAGTGAAGCTCAAAGGGGTTTATGAGGCTTTGGAGGAAAAACCAGAAAATATAATCAATGGTGAGACACTACAGGGTATAAGCCTTGAATTAGTGAATGGGAAGGTCAGAAGAGTAGAAGGCAAAAAGGCTGTGGGAGGAAAAAGAAAAGGGAAGGAAGTTCCTGAAAAGGGTGTAAGGAAGAGCAAGAGGATTTCAGCTAGTAAGACTCCTAAAACAAGTATGGAGAAGCCTCTTGAATTGGATGAGGATGAAGAAAAAGTTACTGTAGGGCAAGTGGCTGAGCTTGTTGATAGAGCTGACATTGTTGAGAAGCAGCTTAAGTCAGCCACGGAACAGATGCAGAAACTTGAGAGGAAGGTACAAGGTCTGGAAGGCAGTCTCAAAATGCTGAAGCTGGAGTTCCAGAGGGATCTTAAGAGCCTTCAAGACAAGATGGAGGAGTATGTGAAGCAGAACATTGAAGATAACAAGAAAATTCTTGATCTCCTTCAAACTTGACCAAGACCAGCCTCACCTACCTCAATTCTCTTAGCCTAACTCTAGCCTAGCCATTTCTATGTTTTTCTACTTCAGTCATGAACTTGTTTAGTTTCTGTTTAAGTTTTAGAACACTTTATTTTGGCTTGTAATATTTTAATTGTTCAGCAGGATGATAATCTTTTGATTTTAATGAACACTTTTGGAACTTGGAAGAAACATGTGTGTTTGTGTATATTATGAAAACTTGTACAGGGAAGTGAAATTAATCTAAAGGAAGTTAGCAACGCTACCTTCAGTTTCCCACACTTGATGAATTGTTTGAGGGGCTGTGGCTAGATGCTTAATAACTTAAAAAAGCAGGACTTTTTGATGATGCAAAAGGGTGAAAAGAATAAGCAAACTTGAAAGTTGAAGTTGTTCTGGGTTCCAGTTGAGAAAGTATAAGAACTTTCTTCTGATATAGATGCCGGTATCTTAGTTCTGTTTTGTTTCTGTTTAGTTTTGTTTTTGTTTATTTCTTTTTTTCTGTTTTTCTTATTTGTGTGTTTTTTGTTTATGTGTGTTTGCTTTCTGTCAAAAATTAAAAATCCAAAAATACACCCTTCTATTTGTTTTAACTTTTCAAAAGAGTTTTCTTAAGCTTGTCATCATCAAAAAGGGGGAAATTGTTGAAGCTTAAAGGTTTTGATGATGATGAACTTAAACTAAAGCAAACTCAACTAAAAAAGGTTTATAAGTGTTTGACTAGTACAGGTGAAGTTGTCCTTGGAGCTGGAAGAGTTTCTTGAACTATGAAAACATGAAGAGACCTTTATTGAAAAGTCAAACAATATAGAAGAAGAGTTCTCTAACAAGAACTAAGCTCCTTAACAGGAATGTTCCCTAACAGGAACTTGGAAGATGTAAGTTGAAGACAGTAAGTTCCAGAAGGAACTTAGTATGCGAAGTTCAAGTTGAGGACTGGAGATCAAGTGACAGCATGAACTCGTTCCTGGTCTGCGTGAAGCCCAAGTAATTCAAGTTTACAGAAACGCGGCACAACAATAGTAATTTAGTTAAGATTATATTCTAGATTTATTGTTAAATATATTAAGTAGATCTACATGAAATCTATTAGAAGCGTGATAAGATAAATTGGAAAATATGATAAAATTTTGAAAAGATAAAAAGATAGATTTTAGAAAAGGATTTTATTTAAATTTGTTTCTTAAAATCAGTTTTGTTAAAAAGATATTATTAGTTTTAATTATATCTTTTTTTAATTTTCCGGAAAAAGATTTTTACAAAATATGTTTTACTTAAACCGTGTTCTTGAGATAAGGAAAGTTAATTTTTATCTTTTTGAAAACCCTACTTTCTATACGAGTTATACTTGTATAAATAGTAGAGAAATGATCTCATTAGGTTTTTGGGTGAGTTTTTGTGTGAAGAAACCTTTGACCTTAATTCGTGTAAGTTTGCCAAGCTTAATCTTGTCATATTAGTTTCGGATTTCGTGCATTGCTTGCCTAACATATTCTAGGTAGGGGTGAGCATGGGACGGGTACCCGTACTGATAGTATTAACGGTTCGGGTACCCGATAACCAAAATTCCTAAAAAGTGATATCCATAACCCGAATTGATAAGTTCGGGTACCCGGACTTCGGGTACTCGGATTTTCGGATCAGTTATGGGTACCAATAAGATATCCAATAATGATAATTAAAACTTAATTATATAGTTATTATAACATAATTTACCACTAATTAACAACAATATCAAATGATTTTGACCAAATTATTAATAATATTACTAATAATTGATATTATAAAGTAATAATAAAGTAAAGTAAGAGTTACTAATCATTGATATTATTAATAATATTACTAATCATTTATATTTATTAAGTAATTATAAGCAAAAAAATACTTATCGGAACGGATCGGGTAACCTTTAATTTTAAAATGATACCCAATAACCATACCCGATAACAAATTATCGGAACGGGTACCCGAACCGTTACGGTTATTGGATCAGGTACCCTAATTTTTGGAATGGTTAAGGATCGATTTTTCGGGTTTTCTGTTTTTTTCGGGTAGTTTTGCTCAGCCCTAATTTTAGGTGTTATATTTTCTGTAATTGGTTAGGTTATTGGGTGTAAGTGTATGAAAACTATATTGCATACAGGAGAGATAGCTTTGTGTACAAAGGCTGTGATTGTACTGTGAGAGTACGAGTGAATTTAAAGTCAGGGGACTTGAATTGGGTAGGATAGAGTCCTACTGTGTAGCAAGTTCTAGTTGGAACTTGTGAGCAAAAGGTCTGTCTTATAATAGGTTTTTAACTTGGTGTGTGCCCTATTATAGTGGATTGGTTTTTGTGTTGAAATTCCTTAGAAGGGTCGAGATTTTACTTCTAGTTGAGCCCTGGAAGGTTTCCTCGTAAAATCCTGTGTGTTTGGCTAAGTTCCTTTTATATTTTGTTTGTAATTTGCAAAAGTTAGTCACTGGGAACTCACCTACTATTTACCCCCCTCTTGTAGTGTTTGTTTCAACTAACAATTATTTTTTTTTTTTTTTTTTTTTTTTTTTTTTTTTTGCAATTTATTGGGTTTTAGTTTCCAAGTAATTTCTTTAATTCTCCTTCATTCCCGTGATTTTCTACCAAAGGGACAATCAAATAGGGATGGAGGGAGTATATTTGTATAGGATCAAGTTTTTATACTTCTTAGGGTCTGTTCTCATTGAGTGAAATGAGTTGAACTGAACTGAACTGAACTTATTAAAGCTGAACTAAACCGAATATTTTATGAGAGAAAGAAATTAGTTGCTAAACTGAACTGAACTGAACTTATTAGAGCTGAACTGAACTGAACTGAACTGAACTTATTAGAGTTGAACTAACCTGAACTGAAAATAATTTGATGAGAACAGGGTCTTAATAAATATAATTACAAATATTCATGGTCAAAGTTGTGCATCGGTATATATAGGTAAAACTTCTATATCTTTGACGATGGATTCTCATTAATTTATAAGTGATAATATATTTATGTAAGATCTTGTTAGAATTGTGTCACATTATATTTTATTAATATCAAGTTTCTATTATTTTTATGTGTTTAGAAATGGATATATATTCATTTGAAGACGTGTCTTGAAGACCATAAAAAGTCAAATAGGACAAAAAAAAAGGAAAGTTGTTATTAAAAAAGTATAATACATATTTTGACAGAGAGGAAGTATAATTTAAAACATATATCTTGAGCAAGCGAGGAGTGTGTTTAATTTGCGGCTAAGGCCAATTTACCAGATAGGTAAATATAAAGACCTCTAGTGATATTTCAGTAAAAAAAATAACTCCGGTGATAATCTGGAAAAAAAATTAATCACATGTGACATTTAGACCAAAATATCTATTTTTTTCCACAAAGTCATCAAATTTTCTAATTCAATTCATTATTGTAATTTTTTTAAAAATTATTTTTCCCATTTTAAAATTTAAATTAATATGTCATCTCCTTTTATTTTGTGAAGTCCTGATATCAAATTAATTTCCAACCCCTTTCTAAGAAAATCGATAATAAGGGGTAGGAAAAATACGTTAAAAATAATATTTAATCAATAATTTTTATTCAAATTGTTAATTCCGAAAAAGGGGTTGGGAAATTAGGTAAGAAAACCATGAAAAAGAACTAAATTAAGCATTTGCGAGTA